AATTTTATCAGGCAAAAATTTGTGTAGCAGAGATATTATAAAACTTACGTCAAACTTGCTCGCTATGAAAAGACTCGCAGCGCCGAGCAGTTGTAGAGTCTCTTTCCCGACTGTCATCTTTGTTAGATATAGATCGACCAGTTTTACAGCCAGATATAAGGTCTCGTGATTCAACTCAAACGACTCCTGTACCTCGACCATCCAATCGACCAGTAGCGCTCTCATCCATTGCGAGAGGCATACTTGCCGATCCATGTAATTGCCGATGGGGAATAGGCGTTCTCGTTCTTTCAGATACTCGAAGATGTCCATCGCATAATGTGACACCTGGTACGGATCTAGCCAATTCTCGACATCAAAGTCCCATTGAACACCTTCGGGTAATTGTCTTACAGGTATGGCGATCAACAAACTGGCGGCCGAAACCTTATCCTCACTCGCAGAAGGCGATGGTTCACTTTGTTCATCTTTCTCCGTTTGTTTTTCCACTGATTTCTCCCTTTTCTCATTTGTTTTTTCATCAACCTGTATATATTTAGTCTATTAGTACTGCATACACGGAATAAAGTAAAACAAAATATAGTAAATTGCATGATAAAGTATATTATACGGTATGAACCTGTCTTAGTTTAAAGTATAAATTTAATTTCTTAAACTTTTAAAGAAATTATCTTTAGAAATCTCTAAGTTTTTGATAAGTTTTCTCAAATAAATGAAATTGAAGAAAAATGTAAATTCTAAAATATTGTACGTAATAAAATATATTGCAGAAAATATATTGTTTACCTTATTGCTGCTCCTACGAGTTCTTTTCACGCTATCAGTAATATCTTCTAAAGCACTGACGTACAACGAATTATCCTCTGATCTCTCCAAATCTGAACTCATTCTATTATTTACAATTTTGTTGGCAGTCTCCGTTTTATCATCTTTTTTGATAATAGGCTTAACACGAGGCACTGGTTTTGCTTTTGCCGGTACAATTTTTGATACAGCAACGTCTGCAGGTTTCTCTGGCAAAGCAACGTTACTTTCAACTGATTTGGTTTGAGTAACCATCTTTTTCGATGGATGATTCTGCCCTGCCAGCGTTGTGGTAATGGCCTACCAAATGTAAAATAAAGAAAAAATATAAATAATATAATAAAAAATGTAATACCCCATATATAATTACATATACAGATATACATGTATAATGAACATTAATGTAAATATTACAATACTGTGTTTGGGAAAAATTAAAATAGTGGTTTGATTTTCATGAGGAAAGAGTGGATGTCAACATAAAAATCGAGCTGAAAATTGCATGTAAATTTTACCACTGAATCAAAGTATACATTTAAATTTTGATATAATAATTGTGTAGAGTACATACATTGGTGATGTTTGCAAAAGCGCATCTTTTATGCGTTTTTTCTTTAAATGGCGAAACTTCCGCTTTTCGCTTGGCGCGAGTTTCTCTAACAACATTGGGTTGTCGTAATACATTGCTCTGTAAAGAATTTTGACTTCTGGTCGTTATTCCTTTCCTCAAAGTTGCAGTGCTGTTTTGTCGATTTTGTCCGAGTAATACCTTCGGTGGTGCCATTTTTCAGATATGACAAAACTTTGGTTCCTTATCCAATTGCTATAATTCACAAACATACATATAATTAGTTTATATATTATATATAGTTTAATTTATATAGTACATATAGAGTACAGAATGTTTCAGAAATAAATTGTCTTTGAGGAGCATATTCTACTAACAGTAAAAATGGAAAAGTTACAAATTTTAACATCAAAGGAAAGGGAGACGTAAAAAGAAGGAAGATAAGAGAGATAAGTGATTTCGAAGTACAACAGATAGTATAAGTGAATAAAAGAGAGAAGGATATGTAAAATGTATAAAATGAAAAGAGAGCATTTTTATCTTTTTCTAACTCTTAAAACTGGAAAAGAATAAAAAATAAGTTGAACCGAAATCTCTCTCTCTCTCTCCAAAGTTATTCTATATAGAAATACCTACATAAGTGGTTAAATTTACTTTAAAGTAGTTTTATATACTAATTATTTTAAAATATTAATTTAAAATAGTATTATATGCAAAACACTAAAGCAACAGCATATGATGTGATCTTTTCATGCTAATTTACATGTAATCTAGCAAATTGCTGGAAATGCACTATATAGCACGCACCATTTGTAAATTATATCAAATGTAAGCCAAAACGAAAAATCATAACATTGACTTAAAAATATTTAAAACCATTAGAATGTTTATAAATAAAAAAAAAAAAATTGATAGATTAATAAGTGCTTCAATAGTGATTCTCTGTATACGTCTTAGCTAAAGTGAAAACAACAAATTAATTTGTTATCTTTATCCCAATTTGATCTCTAAAGCAATGAACTAAAATCATTATTAAATACAATAAGAGGAGTACAAGAAGATCATGGCAACATTCTGCATTTCTTCAAAGTACTTTTGAGATGCTTTTGGCACGAAACACGAAGGTTAACGTACGATCCTCGTTCCACGCACAGAGAACCCGATCGTGTGTTGTGTACGATTCGAGAAACGCGTTCCTCGACGAGCCGTACCGAAGAGATCGCCGAGCACGTCGCCGAAATGTAGTGGAACTATCCCGCCATCCGCCGACATAGGAATTCGCGTGGCTCTCTGTGATAAATCCCGCGATTTTACGGTTTTTTCGGTACTCGGGCACGGCGTCAACGGCGTGCTGGGACACGGGGGAAAACGCGGGAATCAGCAGGGTCCGCGCTCCGAGCTCCACTCCGCGCCGGATTCGTTCGGTCGCGAGATCGTTAAGCTTTCGTCACCTTCGGCGGTCTCGTGCTCTCGGGGGACGACTGAGAACAATCGCCGAGACGATCTCGAGGCCGCCCCGCGCGCAGGCACGAAGGTCGCGAGCAAAATATTTATTCGAAAGTATATGCGGGCGAAGTGTACGGTGGTGCCGCTGCTGCTGTTCGCGGGTGGGTGCCTCCCTGCCTCCCCAGTCCTCCCATCCCGCGGTCGTGTTGCCGAGAGCGCGTTCGTCCGGCCGGAGACGCGTGCGCGCGTATAATTGTGTACCTACGTGACTTCGAGATCCTCGTATATATGTACGTGCGTGAACGGCGGAAGGTCGTTTGTTCACAAGGTCCTCGCATGCCACGCGCCGTGTGCCTGTGCAACCGACGCGTTTTCGTTCGCGCCGTCTCGCCCGCGTCATCCGTCGTCGGTGATGGTGATTAAACTGAGTTGACGTTGGTTCAAACTCACAGTTACGGCCGATCGTCGCGCGCCGATTGGCCGGCGCTGAGCGCCATTCGGCCAATCCGCGCCGCCGCTCGCGACGCCGCGGCCGACACCTCGCGGCGACGTTCGGGACTATGCGAGCCGCTCGCGCGCGAGTTATCGCGTAGGTCTCGAAGAAAAAAAGTCGAGAAGCTTGAATTGGATTTATTTTCTCTCTAAACCGCGTTTTAAAAGTTTCTTAATTGTGATTGAGCTCTTTATTTTAGCAGATTTGTATAGTTCAATAAAAAATAAATATAATTTATTATACAAAAGAAACATTTTTGCAAAATTCTCTTACCTACTGTTGATATTTTCTTATATTCTAATATTCTTTTTGGATATTATGCATATATTTTTTTCTTCAAAACATGAAGTTTTATTATATTAATTGCAGATTTGTTATAAAATTCTTGTATGGGCGAATTATTTCTCAAAAAACTTGCTTATATTTCTTAATCTTATAATAATTTTAAACAAATATCGCATACGACTGCTTTATTCTGCACACAGATTTGTTTAACCAATGTGCTCGATGCAAATTATCAGTTCGATGTAAAGCAAGGCTTCGCTAAAGTAACTCCCGCCGTTCTCAGTCGCTGTACAGAAATTACGGTCGTTAGCTAGTCCAAAGTTCACCGGGTTCCCTTTTCGGGGAAGCACGTCATCAGATTGTTGCGTCTCATCTATTTTATGGCCGTGCCGTTCACGCCGAGATGCAACGCGAGCGTTTTGTCGTGAAGTACGTTACGGCGAACAATTGCTTCGCACATCTGTCGGCTACCTGGCTGCGGCGTTTGGAAACTGAGGTTAGTTCCCGTTTTACATAATACAGCGATCCTCGTCCCCAGATCTCTCTGTCGCGTCGTCAAAACAAATGTCACGTGACTATCTGGTGAACCGCCAACTACGTAATTTTGATCGATAGGAAATCCCGACGAAAAATTTCGACGGGAAAAGCGCCATCTGAGGACGATATAATAAATCCGACGGTAGATAATAGCGATAAACTCGATGGTCGATAAAAGCGCAATCTTTATCTTAATAAAAATAGTAAAAAAGAAAAACAATTGTATATTTTGAGCAGGGTTGAGCGTTTACGCGTAAATATAAACATCTACGTGTATACAATAGTTGCTTTCCATTTACACTCAACCCAGATAGACAAATGCTGTGAGTTTGCTGTCATATGTTGCCAACAATCGTTGATGCAACTAATTTTAACAAACTAGGGATAAGGTGAGACAGCATTATGTCTGTTGGGTTGAACTCATATGAATTATATTTCTATTAACAGCAAATTGATCGCAACGTGACAGTATCAATTTCTGAGGGATTTGTAACAATTTGACAATTTCATATTGTCAACACTTCGTTAGCAACGATACAATTAAAAAAACTTCATAGCTTGATGACATATACACAATAACGGATGGAAATCATCATATATGTGTTGTTGCCATCATGTTTGCATCATGATGCTCAAGATGGAACGACGAATCATACATTGCTGTCATGGTGCTAAAACATGTTGCAGACAACATAACGTACCAGAATTCGGTTTTAATATAAATTTTTTTTATTAAGCGGTCTGAGATAGATCATGGCATACTTTCTTTTAAACTTTTTGAATTTTTGCAATATCTTAAAAATTGAAGCAAATATAGTACACGAAAATGTGCTGTGACGTCATACCTTATATGCGAAATCTTTTGAAGTTGCCGTCATCAAAGAAATTTTAGCAAGCTATAACTTTCTCAAATTTAGGTTTTTTTTTAATTCAAAAAGTACTAAAAATCGGCTTAGATTCTCTACATTAATTATTATGGATACCGCTTAATAATAAAAAAAAAATGTTAAAACCGAATTGCGGACAGAAATTTGCTCTCGAAATTGCGTCAACTGATTGCATGTATAAGCAGTCATGTACCTGCATTTGTAACGTGTTCTACTTCGATGCCAGCAAATATAAAACAACACATGCAATACATTAGTTTGCTCAATATGCTATATCACGCTTGGTTATCTGGGTCAGATTCATTAAAGCATACGGTCTCGATATTGTGGATAAAAACTCGAAATATCTCACTTGCCAGTATGCAAAAATAACGTGCTTCAACTGAGCTGTGACGTCACATGTGAGAATTATCCGAGTTTTGATGTAAATGGAAAGCAACTAATGCAAACTTATTTAACGTGTAAACTATGAGTATTCATGTGAATCATCAAACATTCAAATATTTCGTCAAAAATATCGGGAATTTATATTTTGTTATTTTAAATTCGGCACAATTTTTTTAGCATGCCATGAAAAATTAGCAAATCAAATCAATGTGAATAATAAATATTGCTATAGTCTATAAGTAGTATCATATGTACTTTTTCATCACTGTACAGGTAATTAATAAGTATAATTAATGTGATTGAAATGCATCTAATTTAACTTGTTGGTTTAAAACTATTTTTTATTTTTAGGGCTGTTTTTTAGTGTACAAAAATACGATTTAAGAAATCAATGAATTAATCAATCAGTTAATTTATAATAATTTCTTATGCATTGCTTATATATTGTCTATATGAAAAAGATTCGCGTAAAAATAATGCAAACATTACGTAAACAATCTATATATAATTTTGAAATTTATGGCACAACCCTTTTGAGCATATCAAGTTGCATTGTCGACAAAATTACAATTTATAAAATATATTATTTTTTTCTTTTATACTATTTTCTGCAATTATTATAATATTGAATTATGAAATAATATATTTTATAATTCGAATTTATATTAATTATTTATAGAAACTTATAAATTAATCAAATTGACATTTAAATTGATAAATAACAATCGCGCTTATTGTGTATACAAATTTAGCATAGTAGAATAACAATTTCAATGTAAGATAAGATTGTAACAGGGGTAGACGTAAAATTTCATGCATACATCTTTTCTTTTCCCAGATTTCTAAAAAACAATTACAGTGAATTATAATTATTTTAGTTAGCAACAACAACCGTATAGCAACTTATGATATAATTATGAAATTAATAATAACGCAATTCTTTGGATTAATTCTTCGATAATGTTACTTGACTTGATTACAGGAGAATGCGATCGAAATATCGCACAACGGAAGGAAGTACTATCTTACTTGCGTCACTCGCGCTAACAATGATGATACATTATGTATCGGGGCAACATTCGCGAGAAGCTTGAACATCCAAGAGGAGGACGAAGTGTTTGTGTCATCTGTGAAAAACGTTTCCTCATTAAGCAGCGTTAAGATTGCTCCTCGCACGGCGAACGATCGCGAGCTTCTGGTACGATATAAATTCTCATATATCTCGACTTACGCGAATGAACTAATTAATCAATCGATCGTCTGTATTCGGCGGCAGGAATTGCAAATGGAGAGGGTGCAATCGAGTCTCCTGAGTCAAGTCAGAATTGTCGCGAAAGGACAGCCGATCGTGGCGTGGATCTCCAAGTTTTCCTCCGTGACTTTCATCGCAGGCAAGTCACTCGTTCTTTGTGATATTACATTTTTTTTGTTCAAACAACAGTATAAACAGTTCATAAATACAACTACAATTCACATGTAACGAGTATTTGTTCACTTAAATAATAATAATTAACTGCTTATGCGACACATTTGGCCTAAGCTAATGATCGCCTATTTTTTGTTATGCATCAATTTATCTGTTGCCGCGAGATCGTGATATTACTTGAGTATGTAGAATTACCCGAAAAATAACGCTATTATTTTTAATTATGTAAATATATTGGGTTACTCCATTTTTACTATATTAATTTTAATATTATTAATAGAAACTATAGAAAGTTATATTATGCAAAAGATAGAGTTGAAAAAATTGATGAAGCCATTTGGTATTAGTAACCCGAGAACGGCCACTTCTATTTTTTTGGTATGAACGGTCACCTAGGGTGATTTTTACACCCCAATTAAAAGTATAATTGTTATTAATTACATATTGCATATTTTTCATTGTTCTATAATTTATTAGTATTGAGTATGTATATAGATTTGTTCAATATTTTCTCAAAAAAGTAAGGAGAAACAAAAAAAAAATATTTAAAGAACGAAAGAAGCACATTAAAATTACTGTGACGTGAGCTTCATTTTTTCACTAGGGTGTAAAAATCACCACAGATGACCTTCCCAGGTTAAAATAGTAAAATATATCAGAATGTATTTTAATAAGATGTAGGTATGTATTGAAACGTATCAGAATATTTTTAACATTTTAATAATACCAAATGACTTCATCAAATCTATCAGAGTTTAATATAAAACTATCTTAATGTATTTTTACATTTCAACGCCAAGGATATTAAAAATATATCCTGTACGTGATCCTTATAGAGGATTCAGAGCCGAAGTTTGCGTATGGGCTGCTCGAGGAATTCACGGAGGTGCACGTGCTTGATGCAATCGCGAATACAACGATAAAAGATGCAGTCGTTAAGGAGGAAGCTACGAAGACAGGCAATCCTCTGGCCAAGATCTTGCCTTATTTTGCCAAAGGAAAAGATCATCGCGATTCGAGGGACAACACCGCGAATTATGCGTTACTGCAGAGCTTTCGTAATAGAAACGCGCCTCCGCGCGTCTTCCGCGTGTATCCCCTGCCGGATTTCCAGTCCTTCGATCAATGGAATGCCCACGACATGATTCTGCGATGTCCCTGCAACATCCTGATTCCGAGGAGCTATTTGCCGAAAGGCGCAAGACCGAGCGGAACGATGATGTGTAAATTTCTGCTATATTTTTAAATGAATATTTTGCTTAAAATTTGCGTGCTTAATTTTTTATTGTTGATTTCTAACTGGGGTTAAAGCGGTCGATTTATTTGCAGGTAGAGTTAGAAAGGTGCCGGAAAATCGGCAGCACGTCAACGTCACCAGCACGAACTTCCTGAAGGACGATGATTCTTCTGTCAAGCCTCCACGAGAACTTGTCGCGAAAATTTACGTTCTCGAAGATACTTTGAACAAGTGTTCCGCGTCATTAGACAGAGAGTATTTCGATCTGAATTCAATCCACTCTTGCGCGTACGTGTCGGCGAGTTTGAGGATCACTTTGGGACTGAAAGCTGGTAGCAGAGTAATCGTGCGGATGATCGAGGAGGACGAGCGACCGAGGCCGTCGTCGGTGAACGTTTTTTCATCCGAGGGATCGGTAACGCCGGAAATTTTCGAAAATTACGTGAAACTCCATTCGAGGCACGAGCCGCTGTTGCTCAATTCGGGCGCGACGATTTTACTTGACGGCGGCGAACGGTGTGTTATACGAATGTCACCCGCGGATTGCGATTACGCGATGATAGACGGGAAGGATGCGGAAGACTTGGTCGTCTCTGTTTCGTCGTCGGATCCGAGCGACGGAAAAATTCCTCGGATTTGTTCCGAGGAAAATTTAAGGATGGAGAAAATTTCCACGAGGTAATGAGATGTGCGAATCAAAGATTTTTGATGTCGAATCGAATCAAATCGAATTTCATTTCAAGTAAAATTTGAATAAAATGTTCGAGTTTGAATTCGAATTGAATCATTGAAATATAATTTTTGATTAACAATATAATTATTATTAGATTGAATTTTAACATGTAGATAATAAAAAATTTGCAGATGTATAGAGGGTATCCTTAAAGATTGCGAGATCACGCTCGATCTCGGCTTAGGTCTGCGAAGAGCGGTGGACTTCCGGTATGATCGGGAAAACATTCTGATCTGCGGCGACGTGGGTTCCGGCAAAACGACCTTCTGCAAAATGCTAATCGAGCGTTATCGCGACGCACCGTGTTTCGTACACACGCATGTGATCGATTGCAGGTCGCTGAAAGGTAATATCGCGTCTCGGCTTTTTCAATTAGCGCAATTACCTGCGATGATGAATTGTATTCTCCGTCGGACTCCCGACGGATTTAAAAAACTTTAAATGCAAACACTTATCTTCTCTTGCGGTAATGTACATAGAAAAGTTTGACTGTTCTCTGTTTTTAATTCTAATAAGATGCGACAAGTCCATTTAATTAGTGATTATATTCCAATTTATTATGATTTAGATAGAATATGCTAAAATACTGTAACGTTTAATTTATAAACTTTGTTCATTTTAGCACAATTTATTAAAGCCGTGCTATATATTTCCAAATTTAAATTAAAATTTTTATATCTATGTTATATAATTTAAATAAGAATTGTTTAAAAAGATTTTTAGAAAAAGATTGAAAAATGCAACTTCATATTCCGTCAAATTTTTGCCAGTCACTCAGATCTTATAGGATTTATCAAACACAGTAATTATTAATCAGGCAAAAAGGTAGAAACGCTGCAGAAGATTATTACGTCCGTCACGAACGAATGCGTGTATTATCAACCGTCCATATTGTTCCTGGACGATTTGGAGAGCATTACCAATGCGTCATTAAATGATGAGGAAAATACGATAGACGCGACCAACGCTTCCAGGTAAACGGATGGATTTATAGGTTAATTTGAGCCGAATGTAATCGTAATCATGAATTCTCAAATCGAAAAAAGAGGTAAAAAATTTCTGCATGGTCTTAATAATCGCGTGATTTGCAAATCGATGCGTAATTATTATTCATAGAAAGAAGATGTATTTATTTCTATTTATAATCGATCTTCATACAGCTCAAAAAATTTACTTTTTGTTTTATTCTCTAATGCGAAGCACCCGATGATTATTTTGATAGGGTTCTTTAATTGACTTTAAATTAATTTTAGAATTACCGATATGCTGATCAATACCGTCACGCATTACCAAGAATCTCATTATATCTCGATCATTGCCACTTGTATCAACGTGAGTAAAATCGGTTCGGGATTACGACCGGCCAGAGGAGCGCAGTTCTTTAGGACAGTCTTACAAATTCCGAATCTCGAGAAGGTATAATCTATCAATTCTAATTTCTAATTACTGCGATCTTTTATCTTATATAAATTAATTTAGAAGCTCATTTTAAAAGCTCATATTATGTCTATTGTATGCTTATTGTACATTCAATATTGTATTTAATTTAAATATTTGACCAAAATTTGATTTTTAGTTTGTGTTATCTTTAACACGATCGATCGAATTTAGGAATTCGTTTGTAACGAGAAACCGAGAGACGAATATAAAATGGATCAGGTTTTACGTTTATTATTTTGCATGTTTTCATCCTTTCTTTGTACTGCCGATGTCTTGTTTGTCGGTGCATTTCCCGATTAACGCGCCTTCGTATTTCCGCACCTTCTTAATTAAATTCCCCCCTATCCCGTGTAAGTTGGGACGTTCTCTCGCTGATTTCTCTGCGTAACACTAACTCGTGTCGTGGCTAACCAGGTGGATAGAATCGATATTTTGCGATTAACGCTCGAGGACAAGTTATGCGTGCCCGGAGACATGAATTGGAATTACTATGGAAACAAGACCGAGGGCTGGATGCCTCAGGATCTCGTCGACCTGGCGGAGAAGGCACGGTTCGTCGCGTGGAAGCGCCACGGTAACGAGATAGACGAATTATCACAAAAATATTAATAGATATCGCAGTAATTATAAATAAAGAACTTGATTGGAAGAAAAAAAAAGATAGTACCAGTAAAAGCAAAGAGCAATGTAAACGGCGCGGCGGCGGTGACAATTAACGGCTATTTTTATAGATTTTTACAGTGATTTACTAGGCTATTTCACTATTTATTTAACGCTCTTAGTACTTTGTCTTAAATCCAAGAAAATTCTTTTAACTTGATTGGTTTTTTTACGGGGATTATTGTGCAACGTGTTATGTTTATGCATTTGTGTCTACTCAAAGCGGCAGAAAGATTGAAGGTGCCGATTATCATAACGGAGGAGGACGTTAATACCGCACTGGAGGGTTGCACGCCGATGTCTCTGCAGGGTGTGCAATTGTACAAGAGCGGCGGTCATTCTTGGTCCGACATCGGCGGACTAGTGGAGACAAAGAGTTCCCTTACGGAAATTCTGCAGTGGCCGCTCAAGTATCCGGAGATCTTCAAGAAAGCTCCGATAAAGCTCCAGAGCGGTGTTCTGTTATATGGGATGCCCGGCACCGGAAAAACGATGCTGGCCAAAGCGATCGCCGGCGAGTGCGGCGTGAATCTGATCAGCATCAAGGTGGAACCAAGATTCATATTTAATTAGATGTAAAATGAATTTTAGTCTCGATTCTCTTCGGACCTGTTAAAATTATTATGATGAAATTATTATAATTAGAGAGAATGATTTAGTTTACAGCTACCATCTTTTGGAAAACCTGGCTTGGCAATTTTTAATTAGGCATAAATGAAACTTTTCAATAATTTTTAATAATATTTTGTTCATGATTTTTATTTCACGCGTTTCAGTTTTTCAGTTTCACATAATCCCTTAATTAATAGTAATTTAACTGCAATTAAATGACGATATGCGGTAGTCTTTTTAAACAATGATGAGTTTTATTTCAGGGTCCAGAACTGCTGTCGAAGTATATAGGCGTCAGTGAGGAGTCCGTGAGAAATGTATTCGAAAGGTATAGTGGCTCCTCAAAACTTTTAATGTTCATATTTGGATTTTATGATCTATAAATTTTCAAAAATTTATTATATTTTGTTATAGAGCCCGTCGCGCCAAGCCGTGCGTTTTATTCTTTGATGAATTCGACAGTCTTGCACCTAGGTGAGTCATAGGACAGGGCACGTATTATGGAATTTTTCGGAATAGATTCCGATCGGAATTATTCCGTTTTCTCTAGAAAAGACAATAGAAATCTAAGAAATAACTGAACAATTCCGATCGGAATCCATTCCGAAAAGTTTCATAATATGATTATACAGAATTTGTCTATTTCATTTTTTATTTGTTAGTATTCTAATGATAAGCACACTGAGAAGAAAATATTTAGATAAAAGAAATAATTTATTTAGATTGTTGCCAAGAGCTTATTTACTTAATATAATACACATATTTATTTAGAATTACATATTTTTACTTAATTTAAATAAAAATATTTAATTCTAAATAAATATGTGTATTATATTAAGTAAATAAGCTCTTGGCCACAATCTAAATCAATATTTTTTTTTATCTAAATATTTTTTTCCTTAGTGCATATGATGACATAAGTATTTTACATATTAAATATTGTGTTTATTTGGTGTATTCATAATCGTAATCGTAACTTAGGCGAAGCATGCCTTAAAAATTTAGCTCAAGTTAAAATCAAATAAATAGATAACTAAGTAGACACACACAAATATATTTGTAGCCGTCACAAATATGTACAAAAATATGTAGACAATTACCGGAATTCCGTTTACATTTCGTTTTAATCTTTCTTCTATTTGTACTTTCAGTATATAAAAAATATATATATTAATTTTTTTTTCTATTTTGCTAAACGCATGCATTTTATCCTAATTAGACGCGGACACGACAGCACCGGAGTCACCGATCGGGTGGTGAACCAGCTGTTGACGCAGCTTGACGGGGTCGAAGATCGCGAGGGGGTGGCGGTCGTGGCAGCGTCTTCAAGGCCCGACTTGTTGGACCCGGCTCTTCTGAGACCGGGACGCCTCGACAAGTGCTTGCACTGCCCTTTACCGAACGAGGTAAACATATTTTTGACAATCCTTCCAACTCGGCACGACCTCGTGTTAATTGTTCAATAATAATAGTCGCGCTTTTCGTTTCAGTCGGGAAGGGAGGCAATCTTCGCGGTTCTGTGCGGTTCCCAAAATGTAGACACAACCGAGCTGGATCTGAAGGTACTAGCCCAGCTCGCTGACGGATTTACCGGGGCTGATATCAACGCGGCGATTACTTTGGCGAGGCTGGCGGCGTTCGAGGACGCCTTGGCGACTGCGACGGTAAGTGTTTTTGTACATTAACTCTTTGATAACACACCACTATATAGTGGCTTCTTTTTAAACGATCTTTTCGGACGTGACATTACTACAGTGGTTCTTTTTCATATCTTTTCTATACCTCGATACCTTGTCAAACAGGAATATCTTCAATTGTTTTGATTTACATTCGTTTTTTTACTCGAATTTTGCAGTTAAGCTGTGCGTACAGCTTCGCGCAAGTTATCCGTTTATTAATCATTGCCTGAGTCTCGTTGTTTGTAATCGTGCTCTTTGTTTTTCGTTGTCTGTAGAAGAATGAGTAGAAACGTAAAATAATATTTATATAAATCATACAAAAAGACGTAAACAAGCAGATAAAAATTATCACTTGTTCCGTGTATCTAATTACTTTCAAAGAAATATTCGGGAAATATTTCCAGACATGTATATGAATTAAGCCAGGGTAGTCGGAATTTCGGTTGTGTCAACTCGTGATCGATCTTTTAAGCCGCTACGTTGACTCGGACTCTCTTGCGGAACAGCAAATCGCATCGCTAATGGCCAAACCGTTTCGTTGTTGTTGCCGTTGTCGTGGTAGTGTCTGTGCGGCGCCGTAATGAAAAGCGCTTCTCGCGCGACTCCCGAGAATCATTTGTAGGGTAGCTTCCGAAGTAAGATAGTGCGTAATGACGATAATATCGTTAGGTGTGCACCCTACGGTGTGTGCGTACACACGGGGGGGGGGAGGAAGGGGCGCGCCCGGGCGCGGGCTGGGAATAGGGGGAGATCGAAGGGGGGTGTGTAGGTGCCGCGATATAACCGAGGAAACGTAGACCAGGTTTATTAGCGCACGGCGCCGAGAGCGCCAGGCGGCCAGGCCACCCCCTTCGGCGCTTCGCTTCATCCCCCGGCCTCCCTATGCCTCGCTGAACGTCGAGGGGGTTATTATCTTATGCGTTATAATGATACACGGTTTAGGGCCCGCAGCGGTCCTGCAAGATCGAAAGCCAGACAGCCATTTCGCTAGTTATGGCGCTCGTTAGCCCCTCAGACGTCTTCGACGTGTCTATCGTCAACCCTCCAGTCACATATGCTCGCTAATTTGTTTATTTATTAATTTATTTTAGCAATTTTTTTGCTGAATGGGTATAAAGGTATTTGTGACATTTTGTTAGTGCAGGAGATATACTTTTAATTGAATGAAGATAATAATGGATAAAAAAATATCAATCAATCTTTATTAACTTCAGCTTATGCCAGTGATAATAATAAAGAAGTGGATAATAATAATTTATTTTGTTCTTACGTCAAAACCTTCCGGGAAGTCATTAATTTATTAGCTAATGTCTAGCGGTTTGTAAAGATTGATGGAATTTTTTGCTGTTCACCCTTCTCCCCCAATTCTTATTCTCAAACTTTTATTTAGGAAGATGAAAATACATGGACGTGTTAAGACCGCGTGATTTTAGATTATTACGGAGATAAGCGTAAATTTAGCGGTCATTCACTGGTGCGTGCGTCTGCGTCCGATCAAGTTAATCCGAATTAATCGGGCCCTTGCGTTAAAAGGTCGGGGAGCGTCTTCGAGATGTACGGGGAACGAGTGGCGCGGCTCAGCGGGAAGCTATTAATTAATACGGATCGGAGAAAACGAAGTTCTACGGCGGCACTTACCTCCCGGAAGAACGCGAGTATCCAAACTGTGCGTCTAATTAGCGAGTGAGTTTCCGGAGAGCGCGACGCATCTCGAGTGAGTGAGAGAAAGATGTGGAGATAGAGAGAGAGGGAGAGAAGCGCCTTGCTTGTGATAAGTGATTATGCGGATAGGAACATGGGAGGGTGCCTCTTCCGAGGCGGTGCAGATTGTGCTTAACTCCAATAATTAATTCAAATCGCTGCTGTTAGCACGCAACATTAAGCTTTTGCAGTTATTTTGAGACGAACTCGGCAATTTTTTTTTTCACGTGGTCGGTACAACGAATAGTCATAGACGTGGATTATGTATTTCGAAAATACAATTGAAGTAGAAACATAAAAGTATATATATAAATCGATATTTATATGTATATTTTTTCTCAATACATATATTAATTTATATTTATAAGTATATATATTAGTATTTATTGTATTTATAAGTATATAAGTATATTTGTTCTCAATACATATATTAATTTATAGTTGTTAAGGCGATGAATTGTACACAAAATTCACGCGAATAATATTATTAAGCTACAAAGACCCAGTCCTGATAAAAAATGACGTTTTTCTCTAATTGATTATATATCATAGCGGTCTAAGCGGTCCTATTCTATTTATTATCATTGTTAATTTATATATTTTGCTTATTAATGATAGGACGGCAAAGTCAATGCGACCGCCATCAAAGTTACGCAAACACACCTCGAGGAGTCTGTCAGATCGACGAGGCCATCCTTGTCCATCGCGGAAAAATTGAAATACACCAAGATGTAAGTGGACGTGTACGAAAAAAATTAGAGTAATAAGAAGCTCAACTTATCCGTCTTAAGAAATTGGAATCGTATTATTATAATCAATAATAATGCTCCACTATTACAGTTACGCCCGGTTTTCCAAGGGGGACAACTTCGCGGAGGACGTGCTGAAGAATCAGAAGGCGACACTAGCTTAATTATTTTCTTAAATTAGACCAAAGTTTCTCAAGAAGAAAAAAAAAATACTTTTATACTGAAACACAACAATATAATACGATAATAAAATTAAAACAAACTATTTTCTACTCTAAATCTTCACTCGGATATCTTAATCATGCAAATTGCGTGAAATAAAGATGCCATAATACACGTATCATAGTTGGAACGACGATTAAACGAGAGTCAGATGCGTTTCGGTAGTCAAACCCCTTTTTTATCGTGCATTCTTGGTTCGAGGAATCGATCTCGAATGAGAATCCACACCCACCCAAACAGGTGTAACTCGCGATAGAGATTTTACCGGGTAAATCCGATGGCGAACCGCGGCGGCAGCTCGCTCGCGGGGAGGCGCGAGCTCGAGGAGGCGGATGTCGCGCCGGGGCAAAGTTAAATTAAATCACGGGCGAAGGCAGCTAATATTGTAGTTTATCTGGCGGGACATTAGCGCGGTGAAATATGCGCCTCCTTCGCCCCGGCGAACTTAAAATCAAGATCTTAGACGAACTTCCCAGCCCCCTACCCCCCTTTCGCCCCGCGAGACGCTGAGACGCCGACGTCGACGCCGGCGCGTCCTTCCTGCTAAGTCGCGCGTGAAAATACTAATTATTATACCGATTATTAATACGAAAAGTTGCCGGCGCTAAGTCGGCGAGAGCACGAGGAGAGTCGCGGCGAAGTTTCGCGGGGGTGCAGGCCGGAGGGAGGCCGCGCGCGAGCATCCGGATTACGCTTCGCGCTTACGCTCGGTTAAGGGGAAGGAAATGTGGACCTCGACCGAGGCAAAGAGCGCAGCGACAGATAATGAGTTTGTCAGCGTAAACGCGGAAATGTAGGACGTAACGTCGCCATATTGTCATTGCGCAGAAACCGCGTTGGATGTTGCACGTTTCGTCGAGGTCCAGCATACATCGCGATATCGCGCGCGATGACCTTTGTCATTTATGGGCAAAGCATGTGCTCTTTTGCGTGGTGAACATGGCCAAAAGGAGAGCATTATTCGCAGGGTTAAGCCGCGAAATGGCGGAAGAAAGACGCGCAAGATGGGGAGATGCTCGCAACAGCGATGACAGCAACGACGACGACGACGGAGGAGGTTCTGCTTAGCATAAAAATGGCCAATTACTCGGCTAACAAGCGACGGTTGAGCGACACGAAGAGAGAGAGAGAGAGAGAGAGAGCTGTTGGGCGACGAAGCCGGCTAACTCCGTTAGCGCCTCCTCCGCCCGCCGAAGGAGATTAGTTAGCGTAAATGCCGCCGGTTGACGCATTTTTATTCTTGATTACCGCTTCTCGCCGCGCTAATCCCATTCGCGCTGGCGACATTCGGGAAAACTCGACTTCGCGCCTGTCAACAAATTGCCGCTCTCGAAAAAGGACGACAGGAAGGAAGGAAGGAAAAAAGAAACCGTGTAGGACTGTAGTAGGGGAGGTGTGTGTGTGTGTGTGTGTGTGTAGGCGCAGGGGTATAAAGGAAATAGGCTGTTATTTAGGTAAGAAGTGAGGACCCGAGGCGAAGTGTCGGCTGGCCATATTGGAAACGGACGGTAATCTCGAGGATCGGCATTCTTCTTTTATAACAGCGTCTTCTATCACAGCTTCACTAGAAAATATAACGCTTGAGACAGAGAAGTGTAAAGTGTGGTTACTCAAAAGATTTGAATTTCAGGCAAAGAGACGAGCAACAATAAACGGTAACGACATTTTGAGAATTATGTAAACTAAATCACAGAGAATAACAATTGTTTAGAGTCTAATGAAAGCGTTCGAAAGTCCGATTAGCGGAATAATATTGGCACCCTTCGACAACTTGGTGAGGGAAAATGAGATTCTTCTTGTGCGAAAGAAAATTTGTGTTTGAAGGAATCGCTACAATACAACGATGATTTCCAGGCCAATTCTTTCGAGAATAATCGTGGGGGGGCAGGGGGGCAGGGGGGAGTTTGCCTGCGTTCGCTTTGGGTCCCTTATTGCGCGGAGAAGCCACGCGCTACGCAAAAAAGTTTCGCGTGATAGCAAAAAGAGGAGCTTCTTCGGGGGGCTGTCGCGATTACCTCAGGCGCAATTCTGCGGCGTCATAACGACAGACGGCGACAACTCGCACGCGAAATTACGAGGACTTGACAAGAAACATGTCGCGATTCCGCCACGATGTAATCTCACAACTCGAGCGCGTTGATATTAAATCCAAGAGTTATCGCAAGTTGCGACGAAAATCCCGATTGTTAATTTTCAAAATGGGACAGACAGAAAATTGTCTCCGCGGTGACGGATATTTCTATGATTTTATCTATCTCCCAATTGTAGAGTTACATAGATCTAAAAAGGACAGACTTTTTCGAGATATCTAGTTGTTAGATTATAAAGTCAAATCAACGATAATCGAACAGTGTTTTGTGTTGAAATTTTATAGTCTTACTAAACAAAAAAGAAATGTATATCTTCGACGGTTTTCGACGTATCATTAGGCAAACATAGTTTCAGAGGGTAGATTGGAACTCCAGAATATATCTTTGAATATCTCTTGAAACCAAGGAACGTCACTTTGTTCTGTAAACTTCAGATATCACACATAAGTTCCTTCGAAATCTAGAAACGGACGATTTGTACGCGAAAATTCCTTGTAGCGGCGATAAGCTGATAAAAGAAGAAATTCAAGTCGCACGGTCGGTTTTTGGGTCGGAAAGAGATGAGACGAGAAACGAAGAGATCGAAAGAGAAAAAAAGGAGAAGAATGCCGCAGGGAGAGAGATCGCTGAATACGGGGGTTTTCGATCTCTCGTGCCATTCTATCATTGACAATTTCGCGCAAATGGGATGGCGGTCGGGCAAGCGAGCGATTGGTGCCGGTGGTCGGCGAGGCGTGCGCCGCGCGCCCACATTGGCGTTAAATAAGAGTAAGCCACCCGCGCCCGTCCACGGCGACGCGGCATAATTGCCTGTGAAATCACCAGATGGATTTTGCCTCCTTGTTCTGCCCCGGCCCCGCCGATTCTCCTGTCGCCGGCCACCCCGCGCCACCCACGGCGGATTTTGCGCCGGGCGCAACAAACTTCGTAATTGTGAACGAGATTGTCGGCCTAAACGGATTGTTTCGGCGCGGCTAAGCCAAGCGGCTATCATTCGACGGAACGACCGGCGATCGACGTCTTGATGACGATGTCTGGCCGGTAGATTGTCAAAACTGGACATAGTTTATTAAATTTTAATGATTTGCCTTATTTTGATATATTGACGTTAAATATTAATGTTAAATTACCATGTTAATTGCCATTGTATAATTAAGTATAACATTATACTTAATATAATACAATGTTAATTAAACATGCCACTAATGACATATTCTTTCTTCATTAAAACTTACAATAAAATTGTTATCTTTTCCCCTCAAAAAATCGGCAAATAGCTGAATATCCTGTAAACAGAAAACAAAAAAATATTAATTAGTTTAATATTTATAGCATAAATAACGTGGAGTGTATATTACACCCTTCGCGCCTTTTTACGTTTCAAATTTTTACGCGTCCCCTAGAAAGTTGAGCATCAATAATGATAAAAAGCCTATTAAATAAGGAATCCTACTTAAAGGTAAGACAGAACCTTTCGTTATTTATTTACGCGTTTAAACTTTAATCTGTAAGAATTATTCGATCAATATTGATAGATACCACGTGCGAGTGAACTCGATCAGCTACGAGCGACAGTAACTTCTCTCTGTTCGTTCATTGTATCCAGAGAAAATAATATATCAATTACGCTCGTGATTACATTCTCGGATACATCGGCACACCGACCGAGAGCCGAACTCGTTAGTTAGCGAGCGAAACGACGTTCGCAAACACGCGAAATTCCCTTGAGTGCCCACTGCCCGCCGCGATAAATTGCACCGGGAGTGCTCGGTCTCTCGAAAGTATCGCCGCGCGTTTCTCCACAATCGTCGAATCGAATGGAAAGAAAGCAGCGCCAAGCGAACGATAACTCGATTATCAGAGATGTTAAGTAAACACGCGCGATTGCTACGCTCTTCCTATTCCACGGCTGACCCGTTTCTACGTTTAGGTATCTCTGGGCGTCTCATAAAGCGCATCCCGACGTTGCTCTTCCCCTCTATTTCCTTACGCGATAGTTCGATATAGTTTGACCATTCGTTTTTTTTTTTTAATAATTCTATATATTTAATGTAAAACTCTATAGGATGAGTTTTAGTTTCCCGTTATCTTTTAGTTTATCTGTCATCAATTTCAACCGTTTATAGAGCATTTTTCATTTCTAATATCTCTATTAGACATGTCCCCCCGAGATATTGCAGTTTGGAGATTGTTCCGCGTAAGGATGTAACGCGCAAGCAATTGCTGCACAAACAATTTGCGTCACTTAGGGCGACCCTCGGCGACCCTTGGCGACCCTCGATGTGACCCGCCGAGGTATCCACCGAGGCGTCTCTTTGAGAACCCCGAGATGAGGCGAGGCGAGGCGAGGCGCCCCGCGCCGTCAACGGCGAACCCCTCGCCTCGAAAGCCCGGCGTCGTTGGTGCGATATTTCCAGGGCGTCGAGGCGTGGGTAACGCAGTTTGCCGCAATTTCTTGTTTCCATTAGGTTGGCCGGCCTGCGGGGTAAATTCCAGCCTGCCTGTCGGTGGAGGGTTGCGCAACTTTGACGCTCCCTTCCTCCCCCCCTGGTCGACGCGGCGTGGCGTCGGGGGCGTTCTAGGTGAGGTCAGAGGGGGAGAGAGAGAGAAAGAGAGAGAGAGAGAGAGAGAGAGAGAGAGAGAGAGAGGGAGAGAGGGGGACGGTGACGTTCGCCGTCACCACTGCGTCACCGGGAAATGGTGCCCACACAACCGCGGCTCTTCCTCCTACTGTGCCAGATCAAATGACGCGCGCCAGCGCCCACAATAACGGGCTCTTCACGCTCCAGTCCTATCCCATTCCCAAGCCGAGGCCGGGGATCCCCGCGTCTCTGTCTACCGATCTCGATGGTAGCGCGCTGCTACAATTCGCTACAGAGCGCGGGAGTTCAATATCGGAACTCGGCGGACTCGACGCTAGAAGTGCCGAGTTTGGATC